GAACCAATGTGCATTACCCCGCACATTAATCCTTCACATAATATAAACAAGAGTTGTTATTAGTTTGTTGGCTTTAAACAGAGTTTGAACAAACACAAATTAGCAATTTATTCCTCACAGTAAGCTTGGGTTCAGAGATGATATTCATCTGAAGTAGTACAAGATGAACAGTTAGTATCAAGTAGAACTCATGCCAGATTATGAAGTTCAACTGCATTGCCCAAAAAATTTTTCAGTGCTGTGAATATGCACTGCAAAAAACCATGAAGATAAAACATTACTCTCCTTTTCAAAAGGTTTACCAGATAAGAGGTAAAGTCTTGTTCAGAGCATGATAAAATTATTAATACATAATCTGAAACCTGAAAGTTAAAGTTTAAGGATCCAAAAGCCCATTATAATGTCAAACAGAAAGTTTAATTTCAGTTAGTTGCAAAACTATCAACAGTGGGCTATAAAGCTTTGACACTGCTGCTGGGGAAAAAAAAAAAGTGCACATCTACCAATCTAAGAGTCTTCAATAAGTTTCATTGCAGTTCCCTGCTTTACCAGCCTTTACACAGCAGCAGCTACAGTTTGTCTCTTGAGAAATAGACAAATTAGCCTATTAAGTGCTGTCAATCACAGGTGCTTCCAGTAATTTTTCCCTGCAAGATGTATCCCTTTCACAAACAGAGCATAAAATATTAGTTTCTTTTGCCAGAAAATAAATCAGTAGATTGCCTACAGAGTATGATTGTGCTAATCTACAGGAAGGAAAAGTTACAGTCAGAACATTGATATATATGGCAGAAGGAGACATTTCTGAAAACATTAAGCCTAATACCTAATATGTTAAAGCTGGCACAGAAGCCAAGTTGTGTAGATCCCTTTTCAGAAGGCATAATGATACTGAAAACATAAGCCTTTGCCAAATCAAGCTATGAATGTTTTGGTTTTGTTTTGGAAGTGTAAGACAACATGTCCTGACCACCTAAATATCTTTTAGAAGTGTTCAAGGTGGAGAAGTTAAGTACTACAGGCTCATAACATTCCCTTCTCTCAAAGTCCCAACAGCAGAGCTCATACCAGAGAAGCCACTTACTCACATCTGTTTACTACCGAACACTTCACCTATCAGGAACATCAGCATTTGCATTACCTGTTTCAGTAGCAAAAGAAACCCTGCTCAGAACCTAGCATAGGTAGCAGATGAAACAGCAACTCCTGAGCTGCTCTGTTCTTGTGCTCCTTTGGCAAAAAGGATGCCTCAGAGAAGCCTCCTTTGCTTTTTGCTTCTACGTCCCCCAATGGCACCCAACCTTAGATCTAAGAGAAATTGTATGAGTGTCACTGAAGGCAGCAATTGTAAGAAGCAAGATGACTGGATGAAGAGAAAAATGATTTGTAAGTGAAGTCACCAGAAAAGACCCACTGAATAGGACATGTATATAGGCATGGTTGGACCTCACTGCAGGAGAAAGACACTGACGTTAATTTGTCATTTATACTTGGAAAAGCTGATCTCATGCAGACAGCTAAAGATCAAAAATGCCAGACCAAGTCTATCTTCTCAGAGATTCATTTCAAAATATTGCTAGAGTTGCAACCTATAGACGCTACCCCCTAACTAGATACGACTTTTAAATTATTCAGAATTACTTTCTAAACATCTCTAAAAAGACTTGGGAAGATAGAGGTATCAGAAAGATCTTCTGGGGTTCTTGAAATGTCAGTCATCATGGATGTGTGCTACTCCAGACACTGGTCTAGAAATCTAAAGAGATTCATTTTTACAGAGCATTACCAAGGCTTGTTTGACTTTAAGTCTCCAAAAATTCTAATATAAAAAATACGCTACCCATCCAGACACAGAAAGCAATTTGGAATATTGAGAACTATCATACTATGAAGTGGCACTCGGAAAAGAAAACATTAGTTTCTTTCCCAGACATTTTATTTCCTGATAAAAGGTGGCAATAGGAACAGATGCAAATTAGAGCTACAAATGGTATTGTGAATTCTAAGAGCATTCTATTGTTTTGGATTTATTTTTTTTAGAAGGGGAGGTGGGTTGTTGGGGCTTTTATATTTGTTTGTCTGCTGGTTAGTTGCTGCTACTGTTTTTTGTTTTGTTTAAATTAATATTATTAAAGAAGATCACTGAGAGTTTCTAACACGTCTTGTAAATCTTCATAAAATGTTCTGAAAACAAATCCACGTTCAGGCAGCTTAGTTTCTTTTATGCACAAAGAGGTTTTTTAACAAGGAAATACTTATGCCTTACTCATTACTGCAGGTTTTGGTTGTGTTTTTCCCCTTTGAAATTGTTTTACATTCCACTACGGGCCTACCCCAACAACTGAACCAGACAAGATCTTTTATTATTACACAGCAAAATATTCAGGCCATTTCTTACTGCACACCGAAGACAAACAAGCTGTTAGTGCAGCAAGGGGCATATGCATAAATATTTTGAGCATTTCTGATTAGATTTCATGAGGCTTTAGGGTCTAAGGACTAAATAACTGGATCAGCAATACATTTACATTGCTGAAGGCTAAGGGGAAGGGCTGTAAGCTCTCTACTACTCAATTAAACACTCTTTTTTTTTTCCCGCCACATTGCAGATTATTCCTTTTACTCCCCTTAGTTTCCTACCACAAGTTATTTCTATTTTGTGACATGACAAAGCTGAGGTGTAAGTCCTACACAGGAACAAGTATCCTGTTCAAAGTAGCCTTTGATTAGGGAAAAAGTATTTGCACAAAAACGCAATTTATCAACTCTTATTTGCATAGTATTAGACCAAATTTTTACCATCAATTCCTTCATTGAGAAGCCTGTTCCTTTCAGGAAAGTCTCATGTCAGGGCAATATTTTTGACTATATGTGGGGTAAACAGCAATGCTGCTCAGTAAGCTTTCATGAGCCAGTTGTGCCCCTGCTGAGGATATTGCCTCTGGAACACACTACCTCCAAAATCTCCAGCCTCCATTGGGTCAGTCCAAAACAAAAACCAGTCTGAACATCAGATTCTGCAATTCCCAGACTGATCAACTTCCCCAACCATTTTGAATAAAAGCAAGCTTGAAGCTAGAAATTATTCAACTGGAACCCACTTTCAACCCAGTAAGTTCAAATAACCCAGATCTCATTCCCCAGCTCTACAGCTCACCCTGGTTTTCAGCAGCCATAAGTTATCGTTCACCTAAAAAACACCCTAAATCTAGAACTGAGACTAAAAAAGCCAGTTAGGTTACCATGTTAACTACGTAGAGAAGTAATATACACACTACAGTGATTACTTTCTCACTAGATTTCAGAAAACCTGTGCTGCTTTATGGTTTGTAAAATATTCAGACTGAAGAAAACTGATCTGAAAACAGGATAGCCTGTATTGTTGTTACAGAATTACAAGTGGTTTAGAATTTTTTATTATTACTCTTTTTTAAACCCCTCTCAGTATGAAGGGCAGAAGTGACTATTCCAACTTATATTCCAACCTCCTGCACAAAGACAAGCAATAAAAATTCACTGTGTGAATCCTACAAAAGTATCATTGAAGAAAAGTATCAGAATAGACTAGAATCACTGACAAGTCTAATTCTAAGTTAAAATTTTAGATACTTCGGCAGTTGAAGTTACAACAGTTGTCCATACCACTTCTTAGATGTTTACACTTTTAAGTAAATTGCTGTAACACAGATGTTTCTCCACTGTTTCAGAGCCTGAAAAAAACAAACCAATGCACTCTCAATTGACTTTCCATTATAGGAACAAGTTCTTCAAGTCTAAAAATGGAAGATTAAAAAAAAAATTCAAGCAATTCAACAGAGTATCTATCTGCAACTGAAATGCATCTTTAGAAGTCAAAATCTGCACAGAGCTGCGATCGCTAGTTCACCTGTGCGCCTATCTATTAAAGGTACACATGAACCCTAGTGGAAAATAAATTTTCCTGACGTTGTGCTGAAAAAATGTATGTCAGTACATGTCAAAATTACAAACTTCAGACTATTTTCCTCAAAAGTGAAACTGTACTAATGACAGCCATTGTATCTACTTTCTATTTAAGGCATAGGACTAATGCAAGATTTAATAAATAAGCATTTAAGGGAAAACAAGAGTAATGCATGTAGAGATTCCACAGATTTCTGTTTACTTGTTTTAAATTACTGCTTTCATCCTTAAGCCAGTCTAATATATACTTCTTGCTGATTAATTTAGCATACACATTTATCAGAAGACTAAAAATTATTACCACCTCTAACATGGTTTGGTCAGCCACTGCATGCAGAAACAAGATGCAGTTTCCAGTTCAATACTATTCCGAATAGTTAAATTTTGGTTCTCTAAACCAGCTGAAACCTTACTAAAAACTTAGATATAATCAGGCTTAAAATATTGTTGGAAAAACCTACTGAAGAGTTAAATTGTTCTTTGTAAAAACCATGTGGTCTTGAAAACACTGAGCCTCTTTTCTACAAGCAACTAGATTTTCAGCCTCTGTATCCCATACAGAGAGTATCCCATATGAAGGGTATAAAGAGTCATCACATTTTTTTTTAGATCTAAGAAAACTCACTGAGTCCAAATTAGACTTATTTCTGTAGAAAGTATATGGAAGTAACAGCCTTTAGTTATAGCTTTGTGCACTCCACTACAGCGCAAGTTTTAACATCAGAAATGTTTAAATTCTCAGACTAACCTATTCTGAACAGATGTATTTATTCCATGGCATTTTGCAAGGCTGTAGTATTTTTCTCCCCAATGATAAAAGCCTAGACTAACAGTTTAAATGCTCATCTCCATTTTTTTCTGCTTAGCAGTTAAGAGATTAGTTCCAGATTTTCTGTGCAAACAGAAAGTAGCAGCAGCACCTTTGACATGCATATGACTATAGATACACGGGATTTTGCCTATAGAGACCACCTTCAACTCACAGTCACAGTGCTGAACTCTTGGAAGGCATACATTTTACTCCCATCACCAAAGCTCCCTATATATTAGCTACTTACAGAGAAAATGGGCAGGGTGAACCCCACTGTGTAGAGGACAGTGGATGTGATGGTACTGTCATGGAACGGATACTTGATGCTGTCATCATTACAGAAAAAGCCTCTCTGATACGGTTTTATTTTGGCCAAGTTTAGAACACCAAGGGGTAAGCCAGCTGTTGGGGGAAGGAAAACAAAAAACAAAAACAAGATATATACATCTGGTTAAATAAAAAAAAAAAAAAAATCATTTTTCAAACATGCAAGGAGGAAGCTACCAAACATGCAAAACTCAAATTTCCTAAGCATCATGCAATGCACACACTTATCAAATCCAGTTTATAGAAATTTATCTCTTCTAGAAGTCTAGTTCAGAAGGACTCTGTGGTTGCTCACCATATACAGAAATACAGTGTTCAAAGTCCTTTCATCAGTAAGGTGAGCTGCCTCACACTGAACAAAGATTATGCTCAAGAAAAGCATTTGCCACTCACATGACTGAATAGTTAATTGAGGGCAGGCTGCCTTTTGTGCCCCCTAATTTGCCACCCCACCCCCCAGCCCCT